GTTAGATTCTTTTGCCTTTTTATTCATTTGCCTTTTTATTCCAGGAGAGTAAAAGTTACTATCCATCTCACCTTCATCTACTTATGATAATGCTCAAGATACTCAAAATTCAGGTCCATTATTTCTAATAGGTTCTATGATGAAGAAATGATTTATTATTCATTTCTTGCATGGATTACATGCAAATTCCCTACATATTAAGTTGTATCAGGTTTGGGATAAAGCAAGAAGACTGATACTACTGCTAAGCATTGTTACATATGCGTAATAATTCCCGTGCCATTTATTCTGATTAAGGATTAAGGCTTTTCCTTAATTGGGGATTTTTCAGAATTAACGTTCAAGCTTGAGTCCTGTAAAAAACAGTCCTAACTAAAATAAAAACATTATTCCTTGTTAGCAGAATCAGTAGTTAGTTTTCTAATAGACTACAATCATATTAATTAATCTATGTCCAAAGCTGCATTCTATACTTTTTTCTTCTGACTACTGAACTAACGAGAAAAGGGGGGATGACATTTTTTCACAATAACAGGCAGCAAGTGGTATTTGCTGCTTATTGAATTTCTAGGCCACCAGGAGTTCTTAGCATATTTATGGTGGAAATAGAAATTCTAAATAAACTTTTAGTCTGTCTTTTTTTTTAAGGACCTAATGGCTAGTTTGCTTCTTGCTTTGGATTCAGGTTGTTTACCAGTTACATCTGATATACAATCTCATCTATGAACAATATGGTAGTGGATAATAGGACGATTGATAGATATTACTGAGAATTGGTTGGGTGTGAACAAGGATGTAGATTGTTGGAAATTTTTAAGTCAGAATTTCAGACCCTCCAACAGATATGATCCAAGGTCAGGAATGGAAGTAGCAACAATTGCTGCAGTGATCAGATCTATCACCTCAATTTAGGGATAGTAATATTGTTCCAATGGTGTAACATCTGGCAATAGTTATCAAGGGCTCTTGTGATTTTGTAAAAACCAAGGAAACAGATTGGCTTTTTCTGTAGGATGAACTCTATAAAACCCTATATACCTTAGGAATGAACTCCAAATGGAATCTTCTCTGTGAAAATATGTAAGGAAGGAATGCTTGCAGTCCTGTCTCTGCAAATCAAGGGACCAGAGACACAACAGTAATCTGTCTCCATAACAACTTCTTATCCCTGAAACTTGTTAAGCAGACATTTTGAACATGATTTTTCCTATTTATTTATGTGAAACGATATGTGATACGGGTGTCATTTTTAATACGGGTTGGTTATGGGTATTAAAGATATCTGCTCCCTGGGAAATATTTATTACTTAATCTCAGCTTTTCTCTTTTTAAAATAGTTTTATTTTAATTTAAATATATATTAAAATAAGAATAACCAAGAAGAAAGAGGAGGGAAAAGAAATAGAGAGCTTCACAAGCCATGTAGCTTATAAAATTTTCAAAATAATATTAATTATTATAATAATTTATTTAATAATGTCATCACTTTAGCCATTGTCTATCCACTGCAGGATGGAGACCTCTTCCGCATGTTTCCAACCAATACAGTCCTGAGCTTTCTTTTGCCAATTGAGCCCGCAATAATTATTGATGTCATCGCTCCATCTTGTTTAAATTTCTTTTTCTTTTTTCAATTTTAATCAAGTGGAATCCATTCTATGACTGCCTGATGCTAGGTGGACCATCAATTGAACAGTGTGTTAAATGTGGTTGGCAGGTATTCGGCAAGCTAAACATAATTTTCAAGAACAACCTCCCACTATGTCTGAAAAGTCAAAAGTTTGATCAGTCTGTGCTACCTGCTCTAACATATGCCTGTGAACCATGGACACTAATCTCACAATCAATACAAAAGCTACAAGTGGTGCAAAGAGCTATGGAACGATACATGCTCGGCATCACAAAACAAGAAAGAAAGACCTGCACATCGATTAGAGGATGCCATCAAAAGAGTAAACGAATTGAAATGGAAATGGGCTGGTCACATAGCAAGAAGAACTGATGGCAGGTCGACCAAGGTAGTCATTTAATAATATATTTAATAATATTGCTATAACTGTTTTTGAAATTAAAAAAGATCAAAAATTAGCAGAAGTACCTAATATAATAATACCCTGTTTCCCTGATAATAAGCCCATTCGGACTTTTGAGCGCATGCACTAAAATAAGCCCTCCTGAAAATAAGCCCTCCCCAAAAATATTTAAACGCATGCGCAGCTGGTCCCCGCCATTTGCTCTGGTTTCTTCCACATGCCCCAAAATAATAAGACCTCCCTGAAAATAAGGCCAAGCACTTATTTCGGGGTTCAAAAAATAAGACAGGGTCTTATTTTCAGGGAAACATGGTAATAGAACCTATAAACGGCTCAGTCTTGGAAGCTGATTAATATGTAAACATATGTAAGTTAGGTACAGGTAGTCTTCGACTTATGATAACTGAGCTGAAAATTTCCATTGCTAAGCAATGGATGCTACAATGGCCATAAACGTGAAAAATGGTCATTAGTCATTTTTTTCAGTGCCGTTGTCAAACAATCACTAAACAAATGTTTGTAAATTGAGGACTACCTGTATATACATTAAGATATTTCATTCCTAACAAGAATTTATATTATACACAAGATAATTTTCAGGCTACAACTCTAAACCCAAATACTCAACATTTCCTAAAACAAGAATTCTGCAAGTACTAAACAGATAGGGATTTTCTGATTGATATTAACATCAAGCACTAATAGGTTAATTCAGTGGGCGGAGATATCAGAAAGTGATATGAACATACAACTTGGAGTTCTTTAAACATGCCAAAACTCTATAAGTACTATCTAAATGTGTAAAGGTAGCTGTATTTTATATTGTGCTCCATTATATTTCAGCTTTTGTAACCATTTGCCAATGCTGCATCTTTTTCAGATGTGGACCTGAACAGCTAGAAAGAAATGGCCAAATTAAAACTCTAGATTACTGATGATTCTGATGAAAAATTAGCTATGTACAATTACCAAATAAGATCTACAAATAAAAGCACAACATTAAAAAAGCACAATTTCATATACTTTCAAGATTTTTCAGCAGCTGGATCTTTTTTTTTTTAAGAAGGAAACATGTGCTAAAGCTCTCAAGTTACTAGACTTCTCTTTCTTGGAAGTAAAGGTCACATAAGCAGGGGAAAAATAGGAGGGAAAGCTTTCTACATTTTTTTTCTTTTAATGCACTGATTTATTGGAGTTCAGCAATGGGGGTTAGGAAGAAAGATGTCAAAACCTTGAAATCCAGCAGTGTTGGAATTACACAGTTATCTCTAATGGGGAAAAAAAAGTAAAGTTAAAAGCAGACAACTTATTTGGGGAGATGAAAAAAAATGAAACAGCTCCACTGGAATTCTGTTTCTAAATATCACATCAAATCTTTACCTACTGGTATTCAAATAATAACTGTCCATAAAAAGAACCAGGAGGAAGAAGAAAATGTGTCCTTTTATCATTCTTAATAACACTATCATTATAGGCAAGAGTGAAATTATGTACGCTTGATTAAGTACCTGCAGATATTACTATTGCTTCTGCGTGTAGTTAGATGCAAAAAGTAAACCATGCAATTTGCTATGTTACCTCTGCATTCTGTAAACATTTTATTAAAAAGGACATATCCCCAAACTTATAATTTTCATCCATGGTAACAATCTAGAACCAAATCTTTTCCAAGAGTGACAAACTGAGGGTTTCCTCACAGCAATCTGACAGCTTCAATTTCAGAAAGGAATGATGTTTTAAGAAAAAATAGCCCAATAAAAATAGCAGTTGAAGGAAGACTTTATACAATGCTAACAAGATATAAAGACTCCATCCAGCTCAAACTAGATGAATGAGGAATATCACCTTTAGGAGTCCTAGCCAAAATTCAGAGATACTAGCATGCACTGTAATTTTTCCTCGATTTGAACCTTCCTCTCAAATATCTAAGCTCTAATTCAATTACTATATAAAGATATAATAATATATTTCTTTAGTAAGAAAATCTTGCATTTCATTTCTTGTTCTAAATTTATAATATTGAAATGGAAAATAGTAAATCTCATTAAATAAATTAAATTAGAAGGACTATAAACTGTTCTTCATCTTATACTTTAATTAAAAATATTGTTGTGAAATATTTGCAAAATTGACCTAGCTGGACTCTCTTGATGTCAAAATAGCATCTTATTCACCATTAGATAAATTCAAACATAAGTACATTATCTCTGGAAAGGGATTATTTTGGTCGTTTTTCTCATGCTTTGATACTATGAAGTAATTATATGAAAAAATTGGTTGGAAACTGGGATTTATACTTTAGATTAATTAATAGAAGAAAATGACAATTTTTAAATCAATTTTCACTTCAGTGCAAATGTTGTTTGCCTCATATGGATCAACAGCAGTATTTACAACACCTACTAACATGCCAGCCTGGCTTGCAACATTTTGAGTCTTAGAAATACCTAATCTATTACAGGCAATTAATAAATCCTATGGAAACATCCTTCCAATTTTGCTTAATAAAATATTGTTAGTGATGAAACAATTTAATACTTAAATTTCAACAACTGAGAGGAAAAAGAATTAATTTGAATTCTTGTAGACAATGAGAAGATATGTTTATCAATAAAAATCTATATTTTAAATAATGCTTTATTTGACAAAAAATATTTCAAGCTTACTAGACTCAATTGTCCTTATACAGAAAATATCTGAATATCTAATTGTGTTACTGCAGATGCAATGAGATTAATCCTTCATTTACACGTTTGTACTCCAGAATTGTTCCATTTTGGAAGGAAGGAAGCCATTGACCAGAATGATAATAAACATATAATATTATAAAACATTAGAACCAATATAAGTAGCATATAACATAACTTCATAAAGCTAGCTTAAACTCTCTTAAAAGAGATCTAAACTAAAAGATTTAAGATAGTTAAATAAGCCATGATACCTAGAAAAATTATATTTGTAATTTACCTCTTATAACATAATTATCCAAGGCTTCTTCCATTCTTTGCAAAGCTTCATTTCTGTTGGATCCATAGGTGATCAGCTAAAACACACATTAAAAAAATGAACTCTATAACAACCAAAATATTGTCTCAAACATGCTGCCTATTTCACAATTCCTTTTTAATATTATTAAGTTTCAATACATACGTTCATTCCTCAACCTTTATGACTTCTGTTAAGTCAGAATTTTGTTTAGTATCTTTGCCAAATGAAGGCATGACAACATACAACCCTCACTGCATGCTCTGTCCATAAATCTTATTCTAAATTAGGAATCTGATATCCAAAACATAAGTTATATACATGTTTCTAGCTTTTTCTCTCAGCACTGGCAGGGTGCAATTCAAGCAGACTCCTACATCACACTACATCTGGTAATTTTATGAGACCATTTATTAACTTTTGACAAACTCTCATCTATAGAATCGATAGCTACATGATTTCTGACCACTCATATGATAAAACAATAAAAAAAACCCAATCCCAACTTTTTTGAGGGGTGCAGTTCGTAGTTGGACAGCAAAAAACAAAATGGACTGGCAGTGATACTGATGCTGTTAGATTGAGACTGGAAGAGAAAGGGATTTTTTAAATTTGTGTGTGTACTTAAAATAAAATTAGGGTATTATCAATGATCCCATCCTACCAATAAACACTGGGAATATCATACAGAAAATATGGCTGAACCACATTTAAAAAGGTACACAACATATAGGTGCTTTCTGAGCTTGGTGGTTTTCTTGTAGACATTTCATTATCAGGCCAGGTAACATCATCAGTGCTAGAAGGGAGTGAGGTTTCCTCTTATTTTTATATACTATGAAATATCTGCAAGATAACCACCAAACACAGAGAGTACCAAGAACCCCAAAGTTCAACTCTGAGCTACAAATATTCTTTTCTATCGGTACTCATTTATCTAGAATAGTTATTATCAGATGCTTGTCTATTTTTTATAAATCCAAATCAAGATGGGGAATTATCAATGGTATTACTTTCTGTGGCTACCTGGATTGTATTGCAATTAAACATCCACTGTGAGCCAAGATTCTAATCTGTAGCTTGCACACCCAGGAAGGTCTTTCCTATACTGTAATACAGGTCACATAAAATGATAGGAGAAATATAGAAAGATTACATTATTTATTATATACCCCTAATAATATAGCTATTAATATATCTATAAAAATTCTGTTCCATTCAACTGAAAATCTATCGGGATTTCCCCCACTTTCATATATTATATTGTCTTCACTAATTTGTTAGATCAAAAGTTTTTCTAGTTCTATTTTCTTCTCCTGAGAGATTACTTCCTTTTCAATACTTCCAAAGAAATTGGTAATTTGCTGCTCAATTGCAGATGTCTTCAATACATGTAACTTGAGTACAAAAATAATAAAATTAGCAAATATCAAATTCTGTGCCTTAGGATAATTGATCTTGAAAAAAGCCAAAGAAGAGGTAATTCTAAATTAAATCTTAATTGGTGTTTGTGCACTACTGCAAAATATTGTAAAGCCAATAAGGAATTCCAATCACAATGGTGTTATAGCTAACTTTAGTATGTAATGGAAGTTGTTAATTAGGCACAAACACAATCATATTTGAATACAAATGGTGAAAGTTCTCAAAATAGAGATGATTGAAATAAAAGAAACCAGAAACAAGAGAGAGAGATGCTTTGAATTATAATGGCTAGAGAACAACTGAAAAATAAGGTAATGAGGTTCAGCTGAAATGTACTCTACAATACAAAGAAGTATCAACCATACTAAAGAAAAGACCAACATAACTCTCTGGAAAATCTTCTATTACAGTTTTGTGTTACAGAATAAACTTCTGTAAAGTTTTCTGCTGGAAAGTAGAAAATCTATTACAACAAGAAAAAAGGGAAAATTAACTTTGGCAGTAAAAAGAATTTAAAGAGCAAATGGTAAGAAACATTAAGGAAAACTTGAATGAATTCTTTACATATGTCTTCACTACAAATTATACAAAGCATATACCTAAATGTCTACTGACTTTTTCAGGATGTGAATTGGAACAATTAACCAAATTGCAGTAATAAGCAGTAGTGTAGGATACCTTGAGGAACATGTTTAATGCCTCTTCCCTTAATATAAATTTTGGGGAAATAGCATAGCAAAACAGATGAAGGCAAAGCAGCATGGATTTTGCAAAGGTAAATCTTGCCTTGTCACCTTTTACGTTCTTTTTTGAGAGGGTCAATAGGTGTGTGAATATAAGTGTGTTATCCATACAGTATCCTGGATTTTCAAAAGGTTTTTCACAAAGTTTCTCAGCAAGGGTTCTTCAGAGAATTTACAATGAGCAGCATACAACAAGGGTCTATTCTAATTAGTGTGCATGAAATAATTAGAAACTAAAGAATAAAGATAAGTAATCAATAGTTTCAATACAGGCAAGGACTTTAAGGACCTACACTGGAACCAATATTTTTAAAGTTATTCATACATGATATTGACTTAAGAGTGACCAGCAAGCTGCCCAGACTGGAAATAATACCAAGTAATTAAGGATATGAAACAAAAAGTGATTATGACAATATACTGAAGGCTCTTTTTAAGCTAGAAAAATGTTGAAAATGCACTTAAATAAGTATAAATGGATGCACACTGAGGCAAGACAATTTCACATTTATTCTAATAATCTGTGTCACTAATTAGGAAAATGTCATTGAAACTATAGTAGCTAACTCCACTGAGATGTTCACTCAGTTTTCAGTAGTTGTCCAAAAGCCAGATCTGATGGCTATTGATTATTAGAAAAGGGTTGAAATGAAACTGCCTACAATGTGATGACCTTCTATGAAGTTACAGTATGTTTGCACTTGGAATACCATGTGCAGTTCTGTTTGCCACAGCTGAAAAATGATATAATACAGTGATGTAACACATATAATGAAAAAAGTACAGAAAAGAGTAGCCAAAATAATTAGAAAACTCTAATCCTGTGAGAAAAGGCTAGAAAAGCTGACACCACTTAGTTTAGGAAAAGAACACGAAAAGGGTAGTATTTGAAGCATATAAAATCATGCAAGGAATTGAAAGTGGACAGAGAACTTTTCTTCCTCTCTCACAATATAAGAACCAAGAGTCATTTAATTAAACTAGCTGGAAGGAAATATTGAACTTTCTTATACAGTACATACATATTAACCTGGATTTTATCCCAGCTGCCACTAAAGATTTTATATAGGTGGGGGGGGGGGGATTGGTAGTTATTTTGTGCTGTTAGCCACCCAGAACCCCTTTGATGAGATGGGCAGCCATTTCAATTGAATTAATAACAAACCAACCTGTGAAATTCATTACAAAAATCTTGTAATAGCCAATAATTTTAATGGCTTTAAAAAGAGTAAGGATACATTTGTGGGCATCAAATAAGGATTTTTACTGTTGAAGTTGCAATATTACTCCTGTCTTAGGTAATATGCCTCCAAATACTAATTGTAAAGGGTAAATAGTGAGAAGAAGTACACCTCTACCTCTTGTCTGAGACCACTTTACTCTAATTTGGCTGCTATGGGAAACAACTTGTAGGACTACAATGGGCCTAGGCCTGATATAGCAGGCTTCTTTTTCACCCAGCCTATCTATGAAAAAAATAATCAGAATATTTTCCTTCTGTTTCAAATTAGCTACTTCTTGTTGTGATAACCAAACCTTGTCCAATTAATTAATTTTGAAACATCCAATTTCAGGCATAGTTAAAGGAATGGATTTAATACGCCAATGTTAATAAGAAATTGAGGTTTGTATCCAGTATACAGTCACTAACAAAAACAAGATAGATTTTAATCCTTTTAAAATAAACTAGAAGCCATGAGGTTTGTGAGTCTACAAGTATTAGTAGTTCATTCTACTATAGTTTAAGCATCTTCAGGTTAAACATCGAAGGTCAGGATGCCGCAACTTGAGATAATTAATCAGAATAAGAATTAGTTTTTTCCACCTTTCAATTAAGAATGGAAAGCTCGAACTAGTGCTCTTACAAAGTAGCAAGCTTCAATTATTATTACAAAACAAACTAGTTGTGAAAACAATCATGATTCAATATTATGACTTTTCAGAATCTTGTTATCATAATGTCCCAATTTAGATAAATAGGAATTAATAGTTTATTAGAAATATTCAGGTTTAATTGTGTCTTGGTCAAAGACATAAAGAAAATGGGCTAGTAAAGACTTGTTTTTACTTTGACTTAAAAAGTGTAAAACATAGTTAACTCAGATGTCACTATTGTCCCTACTAAAGCTGAAAGCTAAAACAAAAAGATTTATGCTCACAAAACACTGTGATGAATTGCCTAATTTTAATTCTCATCTTTTCAGAAGGATATTTTAGAAGTTTGTAGTAACACAAATATAAGATTTTTGTATTCCAAAATAAAACTATTTCTTAAATAACGACATTCCTGAAACAATGTTATATCATGACATACATATTCTACTAAAATGGTATCCTATTACCATACAGAATAAAACAAAAGTACATTTCAAGAGATATAAAATAATTACATACTTTCAATGGATCACTATAGCAAAGGTTTTATCAAAAGAAGGAACCTCTTTAGCTTTCCTATGAGGAAATTACACTTTTCAATATACACTCATTTTCAAAAAGAGCATGTGTATTTCAATAGATAAAAAATAACTTACTTTTGAAATCATGGGATCATAATAAATACTGATTTCACTTCCTTGCTGTATGCCACTGTCAACACGAACCTAAAACAAATTGAGATAAATTAGTTTTATAATAGGAGGAGGTTGGGGTTAGTTATTATTAATAGTAGTAAGCGTGACCATTACTCTTTTCTTTGAATGTTGCATTTATTGCAATGGACCATAGACAAAGTTTCCACAAATGTTTTCTCTGTATTTTGATATTTAAGTCTTAAATCCTCCACTTGGGAATTCACCACTGCCATAAAACATGTTTGTAGTTATTGATTTTACCAACATCTTGCGCAAAAAAATATTTTTGTTCTGTAATGGTATTATGTATATCTTACAACACCCAGGATTTTACTACTCCAGAAGAATGCTCAGGTATACCAAAAAGAAACTTTAAAGCTGATAAACTAGCTTCTATTAATTCTTGGTTTCTAACTTTCATAAAGGCAACCATTTCCTTCTCTGTTTCACTCTCATCTGAAACCTATGCATTTTTCTCAAATATGCAATTCTATTGACATTCAGAGAGTTTTTTTGCAAAGTTATGTTCTGCAAGGTTACAGTTTTAAATAGGTTTTTTTTAAGTTTCATGGACTGGATGGGGAAGATAAATACATTGACATATGAAGGCATGTGTACACACACGCACGCACACGCATACATACAAGACTCTGGCAACTACTGAACTGTTTGAAGATTTTGGTAACTGTTAATTAACCAATGAAACTTAGTATCATTAATTAATATAATTTTAATCTATTTACTTTTTACCAGGCTGCACATTAAAAATAAATATTAATTATTAAATAACTAATCCTTGATGTTTTTGAAATTTGTAAAGCATGTTAACTGAAACAAATAAGACTTTTCTTTTTAAAAAATAAGATAATTTAAGAGTCTCTGATAATTTTGAGAAGAAAAATTAAAGGTGAAAGAGATATAACACAAAATATTGCATTTGGGTTTGGAGGGCTGAGGAAAGGAAGCAGCTTAGAAAGTCCTTTCAATCTTCACCTGGGGAAAAGAATTTTTTGTAATAAAACAGCAGTTCATCTGTCTGCAACAAGGCAGAAAGAGGTCAACCCAACGGCTGTTAGGCTTTTAGATTTTAATTTAGGCAATTATCAAGGGACCAGATGTAGAACCTCTTGTCTACAATATCCACATGAGGTCACACTGATGACTTTATTATCCAAATGACATGTCCTAATAGGCTTTACTCTATGAAAACTGCATCACATTCTTTCATGATGAAAAAAAAAAAGATGAATTGTGCTTTATAATTACACATTTACTAATGCAGGCTTCTTAATTCAAACAGCAACTGTCAAGCACCTTCTTTAGAAAACAAACAAGATGCCTTAGAAATGCCCAGTCATCAAAACAATGATTTTAGCTATCCTCATTCCACAGGAGAGAAGAAAATATGCAAGCACAACTATTGAGGTTTGAAAGGAAACTAACTTTCAAAATTCTGCATCACCACAAAATATATGCATAAAAATTAAATTTTGAAGAACAAAACAAGGAAGGGAACAAAGTAATTTTCCAATATAAACATATCTCTTCAAAAATTCTAAACTAAAGAATTAAAAAGGAAGCCAGAGTAACCTAAAAAGAAAGAAATATATTTCCACATGAAACAAAATTTGTTATGCAACAAAGTGGCAGCAATCATTTGAATTAGTTATACCTTTGGAAAGCTGAATTAGCCTTGATGGCATTCTGACTGCCTCTGAAGACTTTCAGCTGGGAGACTACTAGGTTTCCTTCTGCATTTGGTTGCCCGCTTGAGAAGAACTTGCTGGACGACTAAATGGGCCAGAGATCTAAGCCAGCAGGGCATTGCTTAGGTTCTTAAACATGCATAGCTGGTAATTTCCTATAATGAGGAACACTGCTTTAAGTATTTGTTGCCATGGGTCTTAAAAAATGAGTGCATATAAACAAGGGTATGTATGTCTTGTCACTTCATTTGTGGCAAGCCTGGCCCCTTACATAAGCTCTATTAAAAAGGTAAAGGTTCCCCTCGCACATATGTGCTAGTCGTTCCCGACTCTAGGGGACGGTGCTCATCTCTGCCAGAGAGCCAGCGCTGTCCGAAGACATCTCCATGGTCATGTGGCCGGCATGACTAAACACCAAAGGAGCATGGAACGCTGTCACCTTCCCACCAAAAGTGGTCCCTATTTTTCTACTTGCATTTTTTATGTTCTTTCAAACTGCTAGGTTGGCAGAAGTTGGGACAAGTAACAGGAGCTCACCTCGTTATGCAGCACTAGGGATTCGAACCACTGAACTGCTGACCTTTCGATCGACAAGCTCAGGGTCTTAGCCACTGAGCCTGCCGTGTCCTATATATATAATAATATTTTTATTATAATATTATATATATATATATTATATATATATATATATAATATATATATATATATATTATATATATATATATATATATATATATATATATATACATATTATATATATATATATATTATATACATATATTATATATATATAATATATATATAAGCTCTATATATTAAACAAAAAAAATCATTTCATGACCATTGCAAGTCTGAAGTTTTAATCACTGAACAGAACTGTACTTCTGCACTATTTTTATTTATTTAATGTTTATTTATATCCTGCCATTATTATTTTTATAAATGACTCAAGGTAGCAAACATACCTAGTAATATTCCCTCTTCCTATTTTCCCCACAACAATCCTGTGAGTGGGTTGGGCTGAGAAAGGATGACTGGCTTTCTTGCCTAAGACAGGATTAGAACTCAGAGTTTCTTGGTTTCTAGTCTGGTACTTTAATCACTAGATCTCTCTGACTATACCTTTCTCTTTCAGCAAATAATTCTATTTTGGTCAATTTTGGAAATAGAAGAAACGATTAATCTTTATAAGAGAAATGCAAAGAAATGTTTTACTGTACTATTTCCATAAATTTATAGGACCCATACAACTGACAGAATATTCTCTTAATTTCAAATGTGCCCTGCTGCTTATAAAAAGAAAAACAAAATAAACCAACACAATTTGCAAAAAAAAAAAAAAAAGTGCTATTTTAACACAGTGGTGAGAGCACACCAAAAGGGAAAGGCCCAGGCACTTCATATGAAATCCTCAAAAAATCATTACTCTTAGGCGTCCAACATAATTAAAATTTCTTTCCTTAGTATCATGATGGAGCATGTGAATCTATCAGGCATCTCCCACCCTTCATTTTCAATTCACCTCTCCCCTAAGCACAGCTCCCAACCCACCATGTCTACCTGACAAGTGACAGCCCAATCTGATTAAATGCTTGCAAAGGAGGGGACTTGCAGGCCTCCATGACAGGCCAAAAGTGATCACCATGGAGATACATAATTACAGCTGTCAACGCATCTACTGTCCTGCTGGCATCAATTTGATTGCTCCCAGCAATAATGATAGACAAAGCTTAGCATGCACTCTCTTGCACCCAATCACTTTATCTATTTTGTGATCCATTTAGCTGACATGCAACATTCGCACAAGCAAATAACAGCAGTAAGCAGAACATTTAAGGTATTTTAATTGTTTTTTCCTTTCTCTGGATGGCTCATAAGTGCAAATGTTATTACATAAAACTCCTGCTGCAGCATTAATTGAAGAAAGATTTGGTGGGACAAAGACCATAGGAGGTAGAGTTTGTCCATTATCACTTGTACTTTCAACAGGTCTCATGTTCGGAATATTGCAAATTGCAAAAACTTGCAAGGGCAAAATATTTGACATCCTGTTAGCTATTACACCATGGTGAAAAGCCTCAACCCACCCCCAGAGTAATTACTGGAAATTCTTCCTTAGTTCATTTGGTTTTAATTAAAAGTGATTAAGACACATTCTGTAACATGTGTGTGTGTGTGTGTGTGTTTTAAATCTTCCATTTAATATTATATAGAATTTACTAAACCTTTATATGTTGTATTTCTGCTTTTAAACACAGCTTGAATTCTTAAAGAAGCCCCCCCCCCCAAAGTGTCAAACTTCTTTAGGAATCATACAAGCAAAAACAATTTTAGAAATCAAATAAATCCTATATTCAGTTTCACCAAATTTAAAATTCAGGAGTATAACGTTTCCCCCATGTAACTAATATTGGTAAATAATCGTGTTTACAGCAGTATCACAAAGCCAACACCATTCCATGCTTATGTACCCAATATTTTGGCTACTTTGAAGAACAGAAATGCACTTGCCCTTTGTGTAACAACCAATTAAACAAGAACTCAAAAAAAAAACTTTGTACAGTATAATAAAAGCACTTTTCATTATGTATAGAAAATTGCCTTTCATCTTTTAAAAAGCTTCAGATCTAAAGAAAGAGAAGTATTCCATTATAAAAGCCAGAATTATGTTATAGTTAGTCCAACACTTTAAAGAATGTCTATGTAGAATGGTTGAGTTTATTTAGATGTACATCCCAGTATATATGGTGTTTGGGGGTTTGTTTGTTTGTTTGTTTGTTTGGGTTTGTAAATTAATTTCTAATTACCACTAATTAATATAATTAACTACATTCCTCCTTGGTTTATAGAAATAGTTTAGGACAACTAGCCTTAAGAAGTCCTGAACTCTTCTAAATCTGCAAAACACTATGAAATCTATGAATTCTTCATGCTTTGAAAATAAGAAATAATAAAACATCAGAATTACTTACATTTGGGACATGCAGGGGCTCTTCGTATTGAGACAATCTGCCAACAGAGGGCAGACCAAAAGATTTGTAAGGGTCCTGAAATGAAATTCAAAACACAGAGTGGTATTAACTTTGTAAGACAAAGCACAGGAAGCAAGGTTAAGCCACTGGGAAACTAAGCATTTCCTCCACTTTAAATATGGACCAACTATATTTTGTTCTCAAAATGACTTATTTTAGTAGGGTTATGAAATTGCTTCTTCTATTCAAGTCATGGACGATTTGTTAAAGCTAAAAACTTCCTGCTGTGCCTTTATTAAAGCAAGGGCAACCTTTCTAAAAGAAAGCACAATACTAGGGGGCAAGCTAAGAGCACAGTTCACCACATTCACGCTCACACGTGTGCGCGCGCACGCACACACACACAGTAATACTCTGCAGACAAGTACTTCTGGAATTGTACACAAGACTCAGGGTTTTCAGGATTATACCCTGTATAAATTAATTAATAGCACTGTTAAATTTAAGGCATGCATCCCAGTATAAAGGCAATTTGCACTGAATTATCCAAACATGTGGATAATTATTGTATGTATTGTATGTATTATTGTATTCAAATCCTCAGTCATGTAAGTTGTATTTGAAGAACACTCAGAGGAAAAGAGGAAACAGGGGAAAAACATAAAATAACATGTGTTATCCAATATAAAGACAACTGAACAAATCATTCTAACAATGACTTTAAAATAGAAAACAACTTCTACTTTTGCTTTCAAATCCCAGTGGCAGTTTATAAAAGTTAACTTGATCAATTCCAAATAAAAAGGGATTTTAAAAATACTATTATTGGTTATAATATTTAGCCATGAAGCCTACTATACAGTAGATATATAGTCTATAATATCTACTGGAAATGTACAGCAACCACATTTTCTTTTCAGACCATTTTTTAAGGGCTCAGTACATTGCCTTTGCTTTCATAAATAAGCAAAGTTGTACAAAATGTTGAAATACCATTAAAATCTTTTTTCCAATATATTATATTATTCTCTAGATCATAGAGAATTTTATAAAATGAAAAAAAAAAAACTTCATTCATGCACATGGATTAGAAGAAGATAAAAAGAAATCCTAGCTTCTCCCAACACCTAACAAGTTTCTTCTACAGCAATTCTCCTTCCAGCTACTAAGAGTTATTTTTTACCTCCGCATATACTCGACATTCAACTGCCCAGCCGTTGATGGGAATATCAGCCTGCTTGTGCCTGAGAGGGTATCCCTTAGCAACACGGATCATTTCTTGGACCAGATCCAAACCGGTAATGCATTCTGTGATGGGATGTTCAACCTGCAAGGTTAAGAACTGTCAGTCAGTCACAACAACAAAACTTTCTAATATCTCAACCTGATAACAAAAATTTGGTGGGGAGTGGAGATGTTAATTTACAATACGGAATATGGATGATCCTCTTTGTCATACAAGAGTTACAGAAACTATATGTCTGTTATTTATTGCAGAAAATAGATATACAACAAAACCAAGCAAAGAATAATTGTAGATAATGGCTAAAATAGACTGGATGGATGGAAGGATAAGAATACATTTGTTTTGGGGAAGTGACTTTAAAAAAGAGAACAACTTTTAATCTAGAAATACAAAAGCATTTTGACTGAGTCTCAAAAAGCTGGCTGATAATCAACCCGTTCTGCTACACTTAACATGGCATGTACAGGAGCAGCCAACAATCTTCCATAGAATCAGACTAGCTAAATCTTACCCACACGCCTGCTTTCACTAACCTGTCCTGACAAGCAACGAGATTAGCGTAATCTTACATCAATGCAGTGTAGCAGAAATGAGCAGATGGATACTTCAAGGTTGTTGTTTTTTTTCCATACAGACGTATCTCTGTAGTGCTTAGCATGCATAATAGCAGAGCTGGACCAGTAGAATCACTGCATGCTCTCAACAAATAGCTGCTAACAACTCAGGATGATGCTGTCATGGGAATACCCTCACTCCCAGTTAAACCAAAAAGGAGAGGTGGTGCAGGAGTTGCTCTGACTAGTAAGACAGATTTATATAATGTATATTTTAACTTTGCAAATTTGACTTTCAGTAATGATAAAATAAGCACATTTAAAGAGCAGGTTAGCATAATAAGGGAGGGAAGGAGGGAGGGAGGGAGGGAAAGAAGGAAGGAAGGAAGGAAGGAAGGAAGGAAGGAAGGAAGGAAGGAAGGAAGGAAGGAAGGAAGGAAGGAAGGAAGGAAGGAAGGAAGGATTTAATCATTTTGTTTTATTGTAAAGTGCTATTGCAGCTGAAATACTATGTCTTTGAAATACTATGTCCTAAGAAACACTATTTCACAAACATTTCTCCATTAAGAGTTGTCATACTTCATGTATTTGTGACACAAAAAAGGTTACTGAACAAATGAAGTATTTGTTTGAAGTACATAATTGAAGGATAACATTTTGTCGGATGTAATATCTCCATGATAGTCTTTGCCAAAAAAAGGAGTAAAATTAACAGATGGCACTTATAATTAGCTCTCTGTGCATTTAAAATTTTACACCACCATATTTTAAGATAACTTAGCTGTTTCAGTGACATCACTGAAATAAGCACCATTCTAAATATTATACTAAAATGAAGGTTTTATTATATGATTAAGATGCTTCCTTTAGGACTCAGTGTCAAATACTTAATACTCTCCAGGTATATCAATCTTATTAAGACCCTTGATGAAATGTCGAGAAATTCTTCATCTACAGTTTTACCCTATCAAATATGTAAATTATCAATAGACTTGGGAGAAACATATTTATTTTTTCAGGAAATCTGACTTTTTTTTTTTTACTTTTTTTAGATATCTATAACTACAGAAACTTTTTTCAATATATCTGAAACTTCTGAATCATTCTAACTGTGTCATTTTATTGTATTTTTTAAATTAAGTTTTCTTTCTAATATGAAATATAGTAACCTCCCCATAGTTACCATAACATAGTGTTTCAATTTTTATGGTCAAGCTAGGTAAAAACTCATTCTGAAAGCAAAATATTTCTTCAGGTTTAATATTTATCAACATTTATATAATTAGTTTAATCACTGTCTCTAAAAAACATTGCCGGTTCCATCAATATGGTTTCTTTGTAAAAAGCAGTTCTAAAAGGGTGGGAGAGCAAAGTACATGCAAAAACAGTTGGATACTTCAACAATAAAATCTTTTGATTGAAACAATAGTTAATTGTCTTTTTATTCTATGTTTATTTTCATACTAAGAACAGCATACACACACTGCCATTGTTATTTTAACAGTGAATTTATTAATTTTTGCATTTTTATTTTTCTATTTCCAGCAGTCATTTTCCAGGTTATAGCAAATTGGAAACCATCATTAACTCTTCCAAGAGTTAGGCTCCACAAGATTCTGCCTTTTTCCCAGCTGTCATGAAACAGCTAATCTACCAGGGTACAGTAAAGAGAGAAATAAGAACTAAAGCCCCTCTATCAGGTCAGGAAAAAGATTAGCAATTTTCTCTATTCTTTCTAGCTAGTCTTCATAGAAATCGAACAATGAGTGGTTTAAAACCATGCTTACCATCTTTTGCACATTGTACTAAGTTACATAAGTCTGACCTGAGGAAAAAAAATCTGGTTTAAATCTACTGCAAATATTCAATTTTGATTCTGAACAGAAACACAGAGGAGCAATTGTTCAAATCTGTCTCAAAATTCTCTGTACTTGAATAAGATCATGAAAGTGAAATGCTAACTGTAAAGGGACATGCTGAATCTGTTTGAAGTTAATATAATTTAATATATCCATCATATTAAAGCATATGCCAACACCAAAAGCAATGCTTTTGTCACTAGAATTTCTCCTTAAACTACATTCATGTTGAAAAAGTATTTATGAAACCTTTTTGCAATTCTCTTTGTAGCCTTATTCAATAGAAAAGACATTTCCTTATACCTTTGTCAGAATCTTTCCTCCTCTAAGGGAAATCCTGTCCTTTGTAATGTTTGGGTGGAAGGGTGTAACTGTTACACACCAAATAATCAACATCCACTCTTCTCCAAGTGTTGCTTGATGTACCCATTTCAAACCAAGATTGCCTCAGAGCCCATCCAGTTTCAGTAGTGTTAAATCATGTAACATTGTCCCAAAGAGAATCAGAGATATGTAATTATCTTACGAAGAAAAAGATCACAATTCAAATAAAACATTCGCCGAACAGAGAGAAATTTGCCAAAACAAACTCTTTCTTAAATGCTTGGAGGTTTGTCTGCCAAAAATGCTTCAGCTAAAGTCATCACAGTATTCAGGTGCTGAGATGATCATATTGGCTAAAGCTTGCATATCAAGTGTCAGCCCCTTTGAGGCACGCCAGGTCAAGAAACAGGCACCAAGAGACATATTAAAAAATCCACTTTATTGATACAGGCCATAACAACAAAATCTTTAAAGCCTGACAGTGTTGCTCCTTCTGTCCCTCTTAAATCAAAGAAAATCAAGGTGGAACCATCTGAGTTTCTTTCTCACATCTTCCCATTTTCCTGTTGAAATCTTCCCAACAGTTATTGCTTATTTTTTTTCAAGTCCATTTCTGTAATCCTCTACATCAGGCCTGTCAAATTGGCGGTCCATGGGCCGCATATGGCCCGCGCAGGCTATGCCCACCCCGGCTCCGCAAAGGTAAAAAATATCACGATACAACATGATCCAGCTTGTGACGCAATGGAGTTTGACACCCCTGCTCTACATCAACAGAAGACGAAACTGCTTGTGGCATCTTGAACATTTGTCCCCCTATAAAGACCTTGTGCTTACATTTTTCTCTCTTTTTTTTCCTCTTTCCAAACGCTTTACCATCTTTCAGTTCAATACAAAACAAATTTCCTTACTGATCTATTTCCAGACCTAAGCAGGCTTAATCATGTCCTGAATTCTCACATTTCTAGTTAGTCTTAGGCAAATGTAGGTAATTGTTACCTTTATGAATCATATTTTTCAAACTTAAAAAGTATTTGAATAGCTTGATTCTTTATACTTGTGTCAATCTTTGTTTTCAATAGGTAATTCTTCTTTAAAGGAAACTTGTGAGTATAGTTATTGGTAAAATAGCCAAAATCAAGGATCTCTTAAAACACATTCAGAGAGTATTTCTAGCTAAAGGGTCAGTACGAAAGAACATTTTTCATTTACACATTTTCATAAGTAGATCAAATGAGAATTTGGCATTATGTTTCCAGTATAATACATTGATCAAATAATTTTGAAAAATTGTATGTACGCGGCTAAATGACAGTGAGACATGGACCACTGCTAATTGCAAGATCAGACACTTGAATGGAGATTTTACAGTATCCTTCCCCTGCCACACCCACCAAACCACACCCACAAAGCCATGCTACACCCACCAAGCCACACCCACAGAACTGGTAGTAAATTTTTTTGAATCCCACCACTGCATATGGTACATATGATATGGTAGGCATGCCCATTGCAGAGAAAATGACAATATTGCAATATAAAAACTGATATTAGAGAGCTTCGTTGGCACAGTGGTTAGAATGCAGTACTGCAGGTTACTTCTGCTGATTGACGGCTGCCTGCAATTTGGCAGTTCAAATCTCATCAGGCTCAAGGTTGACTCAGCCTTCCATCCTTCCGAGGTCAGTAAAATGAGGACCCAGACTGTTGGTGGCAATATGCTGACTCTGTAAACTGCTTAGAGAGGACTGTAAAGCACTGTGAAATGGTATATAAGTACTATTGTTATTAGAAGCTGCTGCCATTTCCTCCCCACTCCAGGGGAAGGTTACTGCAAAATCCTCATTTCCTCCTGATCAGCTGGAAGTCGGGAGGCAGAGAATAGATGAGGGTGGGGCCAGTCAGAGGTGGTTATTTACCAGTTCTCCGAACTACTCAAAATTTCCACTATCAGTTCTCCATAACTAGTCAGAACCTGCTGAATACCACCTCTGACCATATGTTATAGTATCCCCCAGTAAGGAAAAAATAGGTGATCAGTTAAATGAACTAAATTAAAAAGCAAAAAAGAAGCACAGCATAAGTTTTAGTCATAAATTGAACTTGCTCCTAAATAAATAATTTTTAAAAAATTATAGTTTTAAAAGAGGGTCCCTGCACAGGAGAATAAAAAGGAGAGCCATCTATAATGCAACCACTAATAATATAGTTAAGGCAGTATGCAAAAAAAAAAAAAATGCCAAACACCAAACTTAGATACTAGTGGGAGGAGGAGAAAACCCCATTCAAAGTGACTGTGAGCAAAAACACATCTGCAATGTTATAATTGTAGAGTTAAAAGGGGGGGCGATCATCGGGATTTTAAATTTTGATTCTTTGTGAAAGAAAACAAAAAGAACAACTAGATATAGGTCTGCTAACTGACATCAAACTTGAAGGCTGGAGAAAAGTGACAAATCAACTGGGAAAACTGGTGATGAGGCCAGTAAGATTGCTACTCACCAACTTCAAACTGAAACACTAATTAGAGACAATATGCAACCAAGACAGAAAAATTAGAGAAATGTACTTGACAAACATTCTAATTAAAGGTTAGTATATTTCTGATAAAGTTGGAAAGAACAAATCTTCTCAAATTGTCTAAACAACATTTAAATAATCTTTCTTTCCAACTATAGTGGTTTCTCCATCTGGAAAGGCTTTTGCTTCCATTGTTCCTCAGTGATCACAATGAAATAGTGAAAAAGACACTAAGCTCAAAATAGCAAATAAAACAACAAACCCTTGCCATTGCAAAAGAAATACCAGTAAGGATCAAGCAGTTCGTCTTTCCAACACTCTTCTTTCTCAATACAAGCAAAAATATTATAAAATTCAATAACAATCTGCAGTAAACCATTGCTTACAGGTAGTCTTCATTCTACAACTTTTCACTCAGTGACCATTCAAGTTACTTTAGTGCTGAACAAATGGTGATTACAACCGATCTTTTGCATTCCAGCCATCCCAGCACCTCCATGGTCACATGATCACAATCTGGGTGTTTGGCAATTGGCTTGCAATTACAGCTAATTGCAATGCCCCATGATCACATAATTATCATTTGTCACTTTCCCTGCTGGCTTCCCCAGAAAGTTAATGGGGAAGCTGGTAGGAAAATTTGCAGATCTCTGGAGTAAGTGTCCCCCATTCATGCCCTCTCCTCCAGTCCCTCTGAGCTTGTACCACACCAGCCACTCACATTTTCCTGCCACGATTCCCATTGACTTTGATTGTGGAAAGCCGGAAGGAAATTGCCTTGCCTAATCACCATGGAATTTAGTTAACAATGGGAATTGGAACTCCAGGGATTGCCTTTACAACCTCATTGCATAACAATGAAAATTTCAATCCTGATTATTTCCATAAATTGAGAATTACCTGTACTATTCCAATCGAATATGGACTTACACTTAATAGAAACAGAACTCTTAGAACAACCCCTTCACTAGCAAAGGAAGAAAGAAGGAAGTTAACGAACACAAACATTGTCACCGCACATTCCTACAGCACACCATTCATAACATTTAACTGAGGGGAGGGGGCTCCAAGTAAAAGCAAACTTGAAAAAGATTTTTGATAATAAGAATTATTGTGAACAGAGGTCTATCAACTTAACTGCACATTTAGATGTCTCAACTTAATGCAACAAGGTATTTAGGACATGTTTCTAAAGTCATGGTAACTTCCTTCCAAGGTTATTGGCAGAACAGAAACTACCTACTTTATAGTGTTTCAATAAATATGAGAGAGAACACACTTTTGAGATAAAAATCCATGTGGACTGAAACAGAGTACCTAGCCATTTCTTTTTTCTACTACCAAGATTTTAAAATTAACTAAAAATATTTTTTTTGAACAGATTACTATCATAAATATATATTTAGAAGAAGTAATCTACCTCGGACAAAGTATTTTCTTAATGGTTGGGGGTTTTTGCACTAAATTTGAAGGAACAAACTGAATATAGTAATGCATATTGTTTAGCATTACAAAATCATTTCTAACCCCACCAGAACCATAAACATATTCCCCTCTCCTCCCATCTTTTCTATTCCACGTACCTGCAGTCTAGTATTCATTTCCAAAAAATAGAAATTTTTTTTTGAATCCACAAGGAATTCCACTGTTCCCGCTGATGAGTATTTTACAGCTCTGGCAAGAGCTACAGCCTGTTCTCCCATAGCTTTACGTGTTCCGGCATCCAAGAAGGTGCTATGTATACAAAAAAAATGGGGGGGGGGGGGTTTAAAATAAATTCTGTAAAAATACATTTGACTATTTTATGCCTTTTAGAAACTGAAATATAAAAGAAAAAAGGTAAAATAATAATTATGCTTGCTTAACATACATTTACAATTCTATAGACTAGGGGCCCCCAACTGTCTTGTACTTGTGCGCAAAGTGCCCCTCACACGAGTGCCGACCGCTTGCGCTTGTGCGCAAAGCTCTATTTGTACGAGGGGCAATCGTATGCACCTGCTGCTCACACAAATGGAGCTGCACATGTCTTTGCATGCCCGCCTGCCACTCACAGGGAACTAATCCCTCTCCCCTCCCTCCATCAGGCCGCCAAGTCAGAAAGGTTGGGGACCACTGTTATAGACTATTTGCTGACTACACAGTATACATTCCCCCAAGGGACAGATGCTTTCTGTCACATGCACTACACAAAAGCAGATACCCCCAGCCATTTTTTTTCTTTTTACAGAAAGAGAGAAGGTTTGCTCATTTTAAAAACTACAGGAAGAATTCTGGGAGAGGCTGGAAATGAGGCCAAGAAAATCATGAGATTAGTTATAGAATTGTTTCCAGCAGCCTCTGATTAAAATTTGATGTTTCTTAAAGTGGACTAGTCCAGGAAAATTGAAGCAAAGAAACAAATAGTTGAAATAAAGAACTGAATCCTATATTCACATACCCGTATGCAAAACAATCAAAATGTGGCTTTATTTGAAATTATTTCAACTCTTGTCTTTTGATTTTTTAATTGCTAGAATTAAAGTACACAGGCTGCACACTGTGTACAAGTTATGACTGTTACATGTCAGGCTTAGTAATAGGATTGATTATTTAAATAATGTTTTAGTCCTTTAAAATGCAAACCCTATAGTATTATTGCACCAGATAGACAAATCAATGAAACTTTCTTTCACTACTTTTACTAAATCACTGCAATGTTTAGAAGAAAATCTGATGCACAGCTATAATTTACATTCTAAAAATTTTAAAAATAGTTTTAGTGAATTAAAAACATTGTTTATGTTTATGACTAAACATATAAAAGTATGCAATATGTCCAGTTTGCAATGTTTTATGTAGACGTTTACCGTCTACTTGCTTTTCGTACTTACAAATGAGTAATGCATTATAGAATGTTCAGAGAAAGATCTGAAATGAAATCCCAAACTGAATTGCCATTTCAACTTTAGCCTACAACACGGTATCTGACATCCAATGACAGTAACAGCTTGCATTTTAAATTATTGTCTCAATTTTACTCCAAAACTGAAAGTTTTAATTTTCTATTTTTCTTACTTTGATTCATCTGTTTACACAGCATGGTTCCTCCTCGTTCCACCCTGAGCACAGCTGTTCTTCTGCCTTAGAGTACAGTTGTGAAGCCCTCTTGGGATTCACTCTCAAGACTGCTCCCCAGCCTGCAAGTCTCCTCACTACAGGACACTAAATATATCATCTTCCAGAGGCCAAAGGCATATCAGCTCAGAAAAATATGTACCCTGGCAATGTCTTTTCATTGTATTCTGATAGTACTTCAAAACACTCAAAGTTTTTATTTACCTTTACAAATGTTCACATTTATCTACCAACCATGTGTAAGACACATGAAGCAGATCAGATATGCAGATTTTTTTTTCATTTAAAAAGTGTAATCTCATAATCTGTAGCTATTCTCATCTACCCCCTTTTCAATGCAAGGACCAACAAGTATGTTACTATGTTTCTTATATTAGAGTGGTAAATCAAAAGAAACATAATTATCTGAACAGCAAGAGAATCAAAGAATAAACTGTGCAACAGAAGGTATTTCCTGTGTTCAAAATGGTTTTAAAATCTGTGTTTATTAAGTTTCTATAAAGGAGCCAGGCAACATACAGGAATAAAGATAAATAAAGTCAGTGTGCCTGCTCATCAACTAAGAAAATAAAATACACCAGGGAAGGAAGGAAAAACAGAGAAGGGACATAGCAGTTGAATAAATAAAAGGAATATTATTTCAAAAGGATCTGCAACATTCACAGCACTCTTGTTTTCCTAAAACATCATTGCTGCATATTCAACCTTTACCTCAAAGAAGTAGAACAAATCATATCTTAGTGCAGTGGTCCCCAACCCTTATGCCTTGGCAGCCGGGCAGGGGGAGAGAGAAACTAGCCCACTGCTCGCACAAGCTGCGCACGCGCATGCACTGGCCAGCCACTCACATGGCCCGGTTCCAAACGGACCACGGACCAGTAGTGGGCTGCAGCCCAGGGGGTTGGGGACCCGTCTTAGTGAACACAGAGTGTAATGTGTGTGTAATGTACACACAGAGAATGGATTTATGACAAATTCACCTCCTTCATTAGTATGTACAAGCCTACATCCAGAGAAACTTTTATAAGCATACACACAAGGGCAATTCTATCATGCATCAGCAGTTCTCTGAATCATGACTTCTTTCCATTTCTGAAAGAACTGCTTCTGGAAGGAAGCAGTCTATAGCTGAGTGGAAGCAAACATGATGGTCTGGACCAAAAGAGAATATAGTGTATGAACTATGAAACGTATGTAAAAACCAGGAATTTCTTTAATGACTATTCAGTTCACTACTGTGCCAGATTGCAAATCAATGGGGAGATTTAATAAGGCACTAAGGTTTTATTCATCTCAGCAATGAAGCCTTTAGGAAATACAGCATCTATATAATACTATGGAAAAATCATATAAGGATGTATTCCATTTCCTGAAATTATCTGCTACTATTTATTGTTAAAAGTGCTCTAGCATTTGAAAAGCTAAAACATAATATTTTTATTCTCAAGGAACCAGAAGCAATAAAGAAATCTCTCTCTCATCAAAAGATTTTCAGGCAACAAAGCATTAGCACCAAATAATATTGGAACTATTAAAACATAGTAGTTTACTCTTGTTTAAATTTTTTTCAAGCCCATGAAAGGACTTCAGATTAGCAACTAGTTCAATCATCCTTAGTTTTTATTACCATTAAGTTATACAATTCAGTTTTAGCATGTTATTAAATTTTCTTTATGCTCATTGAAGAGTACACTGCACTCACCTTGGTGCCTCTTCAATAACCTTCTGGTTTCTTCTCTGAATTGAACATTCCCTTTCATTCAGCCATAATGCATTGTCATGTTTGTCAGCCAATACCTAATAAGAACTCAGGGTTAATTATTTAAAAAATTACATTCATTTTCGACTTCAACTAGCCACTAGTTTCAGTGAAAATATTTCATCAATGGTACTATAGAGCATCTATTTGAATTAATAATTTATCTGTTTGTGTTCTGTACAAATAAGGAAAAGAATAAATATTATACTTCTATTCAGTTTAGGTTTTTTCTCTGTGAAATGAATACTGTAAAAAGTAGGAAATATGCTAGAAAAAGGTTGAGAAGTTCAACCCAGAAAAAGTCTGAATTGGCTCCAGCATCTTGCTGAGTCAAATTCACAGTGGTAGAACACTAGGCAGAGAAGGGTGGAGAATAAATGATGGACAAATACTACAATATTATGATGAAATATGTGCCCCTTTTGTGCATGTGTGGGGTGATATTACACATGTTTTGTTTACCATCCTGACTGATGAAAAGCTTGAAGAGTTGAAATCTTTCAGACTCTATTGGGACACTTACTATACTACACTACTCACAAGACCTACTGACATCAGTGGTGGGTTGCCCCCCATTTGGACCGGTTTTCAAGAACCAGTAGTAAAACTGGCGGGAGGCTCCGCCCACCACCCTGGATGTCATCATCAGTGATCTGCGCATGCGCGATCCCGTTGCGAACCGGTAGTAAAGATAAGTAGACCCACCCCTGGACCACATGAAGGCCTTATAAGAAGAAGAACACCAACACTGACATCCCTTAAATTCCACTGAAGAGGTTACCTAGCCTGGTAAAGAAACGTTCATAAAAAAAACCCCACAAGCTCAGAAAACGAACCTCTACCCTCAACTTACTACATTGATTTAAAAGGCATTGTCTTGTTATGGATTACTTTTCTTTTTCCTGCAGCCAAAATGGTTGGCTATCCTTTTCTGGTGATATTGGTAAAAAACTGATAACCAAGGCAACCTCCACCAAAAGAAAAAGCTTTTAAAATTTGTACTTGAAAAGTAGTTTACATACTACGGAAGCAGCTCCTATTAAGGAAAAAATTAATCTAAATCTTTTTAGGCATGCAGAATCCTTCATTTCTAGATAGTTTGTAACATTACAACATTAGGATAAAAAGGAATAATAAGGGGATTATTTTGCCAGAATAAATTATGTTAAACTGTTTTTTTTAATCTCAATGTTCTATATAATACAAAGTGTTAGATTAAGTTACTGAATGGCTTTCAGTTCAGCAACCTTTATACACAAATATTCACAGATTAAAGTTCTTCATTTATCTTTAGCATGAAAATCATTCCTACTAATTTAATAATAAAAGACAATACAAGAGGGAAAAAACAACTCAGCAAAACTTAGATAACAACCCCACACTGAAAGTCGAAAGAGAAAAACACAAACCTGAATTTCTATGTGGCGAGGATTATCAATAAATTTTTCTATTAATAACCGATCATCACCAAAACTTGAAGCAGCTTCTTGAGATGAAAACCTGAAACCTTCCCTTTATAATAAAGGAAAGAAATCCATTTAGAAATATGGACAATATATTATTTCTGCTTAATAAAAGAGCAAGAGTCCCTGCATGTAGAAATAGCTTTGGATTAAAAGGCCTCAACTGCTGAAAGTACAATAATGGGTACATTTTCATTTTATAGGCATAAATGCCATGATTCATAAGTATTACAAAAGGAAGCCAGTTATAGCATGTTAAATCTTAAAAAACACTGCAGGTGGTACCACCTACTCATCCTTGACTGATTCTGAAAGAAACTAGGCAGTGTTGGCCCTGTCAGTATCTGAGCAAGAAATTACAAGGAAAATTGACAGGCTAAACTAAGAAGTCAAAAACATTCTGAAAAAGGCAACAGCAAATCACTTTACCAATAATGTTCAGATGAAATTATAATGAAGTCATCTGCATCCAGTGGCATCTGCAGGATGGGAGTATTAAAACCAATAAGATGGCAGACAGATTGTTACAATAGAAGCCCCATCCCTTATATATGTGTGTCGCTGTCATACACATATTCAAAGGGTATAGATCTTGCATTCCAACTCTGCATCCTGCCAATCTCCTCCAGACATCATCGTTAATTCAATATATAAATGTCACATTGAAATACTCAAAACTGCAGACCTACATTTGCACAATAAAAGGAGTATTATCCTCTCATCACCTAGGACAGTGATGACTTTTTGCCATCGCGTGCCAGAAATGGGGAGGGGGAGGTAGCACACGCATGCACCCACACCCATAATTCTATGCGCCCTGCCCCCACACATGCGTGCGTGACCCCTCCCACTCCCCCCGCTCCTGGCACGCAATCGCATGGTAGGCCTGTTTTTTGCTGTCCCCAGCCCCCAGAGTCTTTCTAGGAGTCTGGGGAGGGTGAAAGGGGCCTTCCCCACCCCCACCCCCGGAGGCCGAAAACCATCCATTTGCCAACTTCTGGTCCCACCAGAAGTTGGCAAATGGGCCGTTTCCAGCCCCCGGGGGGGGGGGGGGGAGGCCATTTTCTCCCTACCCAGATATGGCTACATGTGCCACCTGTGGCACACTTGCCATAGGTTCGCCATCATGGACCTAGGAGTTTATATATTTGGTGTTTTTTATTTATTTCTTAAGGTACATTTTTATATGAGTTATTTTTACATTTGAGGCCAATTATTGTGTGCCACCCAGAGTCAGTTTTGGGCAGCTATACAATATGATTAATAAATAAAATCAATAAATAATAGTAACAATTTCTTAAATTTGTATGCCAGCTTTCTCCAAATCACTCTGAGTGGCTCACAACAATGAAAGAGATTACAATAAAATCATTAGAAGATAAAAGTGCCCCATAGCAGACAGAATGAAGCAAGGGGTCTTACTTTCCTTCTGCCAAGGCCTGGGTGAACAGCCTGGTCTTTACAGCTGTTCTGAACAGCAGCAGACAGAGAGCCATCCAGTTCTCAGGGGACCCTCATTCCAGAAGGCAAGTATTAGTACAGAGAAGGTACGCTTTCACGGTTCTTTTAGATTAGAGGTCCCCAACCCCCGGTCCGCAGACTGGTGCTGGGTTGCAGCCCATTTGGAACCAGTCCATGGAAGTACATGTAGCTGCATCTGTGAAAGCAGTGAGCACATGCATGCAAAACTATCTCCTCTCGCCCTCCCCGCCTGTTATGGTCCACCGGCGGCCTGCAGAGCTGGCAGCAGAGTCAGACAATGAGAAGGCTGGGGAGGAACATGGGCCAGTCCTGGCATCTGGGGAAGGCTCGGACAAGGGCTCTGCGTCAGAGGCAAAGATGGGGCCAGGGCCATCTGGGAGTTATGTGTGGACTCTGGAGCATCCAAAGTCGGACATCAGGGAGGCAGAGGAACAGGGGGAGCCTGTTCCCAGTGCGCGCATGCGCAGAGCTGCCAGAAGGCAAGAATAGTTGAAACAAAAGGGACAACTCAGGAATAGGGCTTAGATATGATTGGCCCCTCCCATAAGACATAAAGGAGGAGCAAAAGCATGTGGGCCTTTGCAAGAAGCAACGTTGTTGATGCTGGTCAGTTTGTATTCTGAAGCTCCGTTTTGATTCTGTGTTCCTTGTGGCCTTGCAAAGATAATTGCCAATTAGGTTTTTGGCAGCGTGTCAAGAGAGATAAAGATGGGTGCTTATCAGCCTTATCCCGAAGGACTGTGGCAGACTTCTGTCGGACTCTTTACAAACTCTTGGTGATTCAGCACGGGCTGTGAATAAACAGAATTTACAGCTGTTGAAATAAAAAGATTTTTGGGACGCATTGTGTGCTTTTACTCTATCAGGAAGCCTAGGTCAGAACACTGCCATCTCTGCTAGTCCGCAGAATCAGAAAGGTTGGGGAATGCCTATGATATGTAGGGATTTGTTTGTTTATTAATAAAAAAATTATTGGCTGCCCTTTACAATCATAAAAGATAAAACCTGCATAAGATAAAAGACATAAATAAGTTAATACAAAAAGCCATGCAGCCCAAGATGAGGAAGGTGGGAGCAGAGTAGGAAGGAGGTGGGATCTGTCCCCCAGAGTGGGAAGGAAGGTGGCATCTATCAACCACCTCCACTGTGATGCTCCCTCTTTATAGGTAACAACCAGCACTTTGAATCATTCCTGGAAGCCAAATAGCAACCAGTGAAACTGTACATCATTGCTTGTACTACTACATTCTGAACCAGTTGAAGCTTCTGGATGGTTTTCAAGGGAGGCCAATTTAGGGTATGTTGTAGTAGACGATCCACAAGATAATTGGACGTGAATGGCTGTCTGAACAGTCCCAAATTTAAGAAAGAGTGCACCAGATAAATTTGTGCAAATGCCTCCCTGACCACAGCTGCCACACTGCAAGTCCAGAAAGATGGAAGATCCACATGAAGGGACATTTTATCATGCATGGTGGATTTGGGGAAAAATGAAAAGATATTGGACACAAATCCATATGGTAATGCAGAGAATTTAAAAAATTAACATTCAGATGAAACTGGAACTTTTCTTATTGGAATTTACAAATACTCAACTAGAAAAGGCTCATGACAATTGGTTTTAATATGATAACTGCAGGGAGGCTATTATATGCCCCAAAACAGAAGTCTACAGAAACATCAATAAGAGAGGAAATTATTATGAAAATGGCTGAGTCTGCAGAAATGGCTAAATTGATTTGTTTGATTAAGGAGAATACAACCACTTTTTAAAAAGACTGGAAACCCTTTAAAGACTTTTGGTTGAAAATAGATAAAAATAAACTGCTAATTTAGGGATTTCTTAATTAAAATATTTGTTTATGGGAAGAAGGAAACTGTAATATACAATATGGAAGGGTGTAGATGGTAATTACTGTTTATAACTGCTGATCAGAAGTTACTTCTTTAAAAATTTGTCTCTTCTTAATATGAAGTTATTTTTCACTTTTCCTTTACATCTTTATAATCTTTTTTCTATTTCTTCTATGCTTCTGTAGCTCTTTAACTCTTTCTGAAATCCTCTTTGAATAAAATTAATTTTAGAATGTATTTTAAAAGTCCTATTCAATCACTTAAAAACCAAAATAATAAAAATCAAAACTGCATCAAAGGAAATATAATACACACATTTAATTTACCCAATACTCTATATCCAAGCACATGTGGAAGTGAGAAATTTCTACTAAATTTATACGGCATATAAAATCCATAGCTAATTCCATGATGTCTCTCTTTTTGTTCGTAATAGGCTAACCTGCTCTACTCTCCCATGCTACATGATCCATGGAGGAAGGAAACTGTGCAAATACAAAAACCTTTATAAACCCAGCAAAAAAGTTATTCGGTAATAAAACAGAAATAAACAATGACTAGGTTGCCTGGGGATTTCTACACATTAGGGAACCGTTCATATCTAATATGTGTATAAATGAAAAATCTTTTAGATCAACATAGATTAACATGTCTAATTACTGGCCTGTTGACCATAATTTACATTACTTTTTTTAAGTTTCGAATGTGTGGTTTTTCCTAGCCATTTAAAGATAACTTCATAAATCACATTTCTAAACTATAAAATAAAATTAAAACTCCAATCAAAATCATTTAGAGCCATCATCTGATTAAACACCCTCCTCAGTTGACATGCAAACCAGGGGTGGGTTCTACTTACCTATGCTACCGGTTTGCAATGGGAGCATGCGCACGCTTCTAAGCATACGCAGATTGTCCAGGATGACATCCAGCAAGGTGGGCGGAGCCTCCCACCACCATTATTAACCGGTTCGCAAGAACTGGACCGAACTGGGAGCAACCCACCACTGATGCAAACCAACATGAGGTTGTGAGGAAGCTATTTGTGGGTCCTTCCAACATAGAAACACATACCTACTTCCTACCAGCCCCATCAACTCATGAGTCCTCTCTCCAAAAGTGTAATCAAATCCTGTCTTAGTCCCTGAAAATATTTGAAAGTCGGCAGATATATTCTATTGGCAAAACTAATTGGATTGTGTTGGTGAATAAAGCAAATTTTGTAAACAATTAATCAGCCAATGTCATTATAGGATTTGTTTATTTACATATTAAACACCTTTTTATCACACTGCAATCAAAAATGACTCTCAGCAGCTTACATAGACTATAAATAGAAATAAGTTAATAATTTAATTTTTATTATTAAAAATAATATCATTTAAAAATAATAATAAGAGCCTTGGTGGCGCAGCAGACTAAAGCACTGTTAAGTAACACCAGCTGCCTGCAATTACTGCAAGTTCAAATCTCACCAGGCTCAAGGTTGACTCAGCCTTCCATCCTTTCGAGGTAGGTAAAATGAGGACCCGGATTGTGGGGGCAATAAGCTGACTTTGTATAAAAAGAATACTGCTTAGGGGGGGCTGAAAGCCCTACTAAGCAGGTATATACAAAAGTATGAAGGCTAGTGCTTAACGCATTGTAAGCCGCCCTGAGTCTCCGGAAAAGGGTGGCATATAAATTGAACCAAATAAATAAATAAATAAATAAATAAATAAATAAATAAATAAATAAATAAATAAATAAATTTCAAATAAAGGGAGGAGCACAACAAATATGAGCAACAAAAACTGTCAAAAAAAAGATTAAAAATAAAACATGGCGTCATATACTGTATACAGTCAGGGGAAAGCTTTATGAAACCATTCCATTTTCAAATTTCCCCAAAAAATCAGCAAGGAGACAGCTAGCCTGATTTCAATCAAAAGGCTATTCCATGGCATCAGTCCTACCATAAAAAAAGCTGTGCCATCTTACTTCAGGCCCCCAAGCTTTTGGAAAATATGGGATTAATGTATCTAATTTATTAATAAAATTACGGAATAGTAGTTGAATCATACGGACAGAAAAAAACATATATAGGCATATATACAAAAGTCCTGTATAAGGAAAGTGTTAAGTGTTATACCAGGGCATTTTCCCCCATGTTACTACCTTAGCTGTTCTGCAGGACCATTTCACCTTGCCCACGGTCATACTGATTGGGAAAATGGGACTCCTAGTTCATCCTCCTTAGAATGGAGTACCACAGACCACAAATGGTTTTACATTGCTTAATGATGTGGCTTGTTAAATGGGTTGCACCCACGTTTATTATCTTTTTTGCTGCAGTCATGTGGTTGTTAAGTGAATCCAACTTCCTCCATTGACTTTACTTGCTGGAAACCCCCTGAAAACGTCATAAATTGTAATCACATGACTCCACAATGCTGCAACCGTTGTACATACATGCCAGCTGCCACGTCCCCAAATTTTGATCACATGATCACACAAATTATTGACTGGTCATAAGCAACTTTTTCCAGCACTGACATAATTTTGAAGAATCATTTAATGAATGGTCATCAGTCGAGGACTACCTGCAATAGACTGCTTAGGGAATAAGAGCAAAAACGTGTTCATTAGCTTAACTGCTAGTTTATCATAGTTTATGAGAGCCTTAAAAAGAAAGAATGGCATAGTTGGATTTGAAAACAGATGTAGTCATAAAAACTGATTTCTGGACAGCACCTCACCTGGCTTCATCATCATTCCATGCAACTCTCATGCCTTTTCCACCACCACCTGCCGAAGCCTTGATCATCACAGGGTAGCCTAGCAGCAGGGAACAATTAAGACAGAAATTTAAATTTTGATCATACATTTATGACAACTGACCACATGTTCAATGACAAGGTCAATAACAAGCTTATTAAAAAGCTTTCTGCTGGGAAGAGGAATTTAAACTGTGTTATCTGTACAGTAGTGTTGTTTTAATGACAGCAATCTCCTGAATTTAAGTTTATCAGATTGAATTAGCAACAACCAATAAAACACAGCATTTTAATAAATATCTAAAGCACTGTCTTTTCATCAAAAGATCCTCAAACAAGCAAAACCATTTTTTTAAAAAGAAATTGGAATTTCAACTTAACATGACATGAAGACCTACAGAAAAAAAACAGTATGTTAAATTAATGGCATTGTTTCATTAGTCCAATTGAAGCACCAAGATGTTAAATATGAAACAGTCAGACCATTCTGAGGGTTTTTAAACAAAACTGTGAAAAAACCACCAATATTCGGATAATAGATCAATAAAGAAGTCTTCAGTTTTAAAATAAACTTTGCATACATGTAGTCCTCAAGTCACAACAATTCATTTAGCAACTATTCAAAGTTGCATTGGTGCCAAAGAAAATGACTTTAAACTGGTACTCAGTCTCATGACCATCACAGAATCCTCATGGTCACATGATAAAAATTCAGGCACTTGGCAACTGCCTTCTTTTTAAAATGGTTGAAGAACCCTGAGATCATGTGATCACCATTTCTACCCTTCCCAGCCAGCTTCCAACAAGGAAAGTCAATGGGGGAAGCCAGATTCGATTAATGATCATGTGACTCACTTAACAACTGCAGTGATACATTTAACAACTGTGGCAGAAAAGGTCATAAAATCAGATGTGACTTACTTAACAATCGCTTTGCTTAGCAATGAAAACATGGCTCTAAATTGTGTTGTAAGTCAAGGACTACCTGTACTGTATTTCATTCAGCTAGCACAATGTCTTCTCTTTATTTATGTAGGTGATGGCTACGACATAAAGAATGACCTTTTTGATACCATCTGATCTTATTTTATTAAATATAATTTTTCTGAATTTGTGTTCTTAAAAAGGAATTGAAGGAAAAGGAGATGGCAAGCACTTCACCTCACAAGGAATATTATGAATTAAAGAAGATAATTAGCTCTTTGAAATGAAATGAAAAGATTATAACCAACATATACTATGAGAGTGTCATATATGATGGAAACTCTCAAGGTTCTTTTATTTTTACCTGTACTGATTATCATTGCTTAAATATCATTAGATGAAGAGTTAAGAAATGTTCTCTCTCTTTTTTGGCTAATTTTATTTCCAACTAATTAAATTGTTGGCACAAAGTTAGTCAGACACAGTTTAAAATTTGACAGCAGTACATAATTTTGAATACAGATTTTATGTGATTTGATTATTAAGATTCACATTTTCATCTTGCTCTATGTCAACTGAATTTTCATGTCAAAAAATGATTCTTACAAATAAATTGCTGTATATAATTTTTGTGTCACTCCTACATAGTAAATTGTTTCTGCATTATCTGAGTATTTTTAGCATGAATTGCTTATTTTTATGAGGTTTAGATCTAAAATTTAACTTGGACATTCCAAATTATACGGGGGTTCTTTCTGACTTCCTGGACAATTTCATGCAGTACTATAGAAAATATTTACTATTATTTACAAAACTTCTCCCTACCAAGTCTGGGAAACGTCTCTGGCATAAATGGAACCCTAGAAATGTAAGAAATCTCTCTAGACTGTATTAATCAATTTAGAATCAATGAATACCTATCAGAGGGGGATATGGTGTTTTCTCTACAATCTTTGGATGGAGAACTTCAAAATTTGTCATATGTGTATTGGGTAGAAAATTGAATTGACTAGAGATTAATCACTTTTTTGCAGGTGCACACTTCATGCTGGATTATTATTTTTATGAAACAAATGAAAAAGCACCATACTTTGGTGTCACTTCTTTACCCTATCCGTTTACATACTGTATCGATACAACTCGAATTAAGCTCTGATCATTGGCAATATTATACTACCATTCTTTCCCCAGAATTAATATCCCATTTAAATAAAACTGGTGAAAAGAAGCCTGCACATTTCATATTCTGAAAATATAGGAAGGTGGGCTTAATCTCTAAATCAAGGATCCCCAACTGCCGGGCTGTAGCTCAGTACCGGGCCACATCTCATTCAGAACTGGGCTGCGGAAGCAGCAGGTCAGAGCATGTGTAGTTCCATTTGCAACAGCAGCGGGCACATATGCCTGTGCTTGTGCAAATGGAGCTGTATGTGCGCACTCACCCACCATTCCTGAGGAACCATCCTGCCTACCTGCCCCTTGCCAGTTCGCAAAGCCAGAAAAGTTGGGGAACGCTGCTCTAAATAATTTGATTTGCTGAATAGACCTAGAGATGGACAACTATCCTTAATTGGACAAAGAGTCAATTAATCTCCCCACAGAATCTGCCTATCATTTATGCTCTGTATTTTGGAAAACTGGAAAAAAAACTGAGAGAAACAGGAGAAGAACAAAGCAAACCTGCCTAAAAATATCAAAGCAAAAGATCCAACTTATTCAAGGTGATAATAAATAATAACCGGGCTGATTATATTGATTTTACTTGAAATTCTGTACACAATTGTGATTGTAGCCTTCCCTGTTTTCCTATTTCAATTTTCCCAAAACTGCTTTTTGTACCTAGAAATTTAGCTTTGTTGTAGAAGAAAATTTCTCATTAAAACATTCCTCATGTGCAAGGTCACAAAGTTAGTCAACTATGTCTTATGTTTCAAAACAACCATAAGCCTTCTTAAGTTCTGCATTTCTTAGTTTGGGAAAGGGGAAAAGGGATAGGGATAGGGATAAGGATAGAATCAGAATCAGAATCAGAATCAGAATCAGAATTGTTGGACGAGATCTTGGAGGTCTTGTAATCCAACCTCCTGCTCAAGCAGGGGACCTTATACCATTTCAAACAAACGGTTATCCAATGATCTAGCACCCACAACATCTGAAGGCAAGCCATTCTTCTTATTAATTCTTCTCACTGTCACGAAATTCTCCTTATATCTAGGCTGGATTTCTCTTTTGTAGTTTTCATGTTCTCCCATTTCATATAGGTTACTTAGACTAAGAAATAACAATTGGCCAAAGATTTCTGAATAAACTTTAGTCTCTCTAAGACACTATCACATAATATAGGCCAAGATCAAATATAAGTTTCAATTTAATTGGATTATCTCCATGCCACCTTAGCAGGTGGTTGCATCTAGTCAACTTTGTCTTATTTCAGAAGCTAAGCAGGATGAGCTCTGGTTAGTACTTGGACATCCAAACCAAGATAGAATACCATCAGCAAAACAGCATGAATGCTGTTACCAGCAGTCTGGTGGAATGGTTTGAAGGAATGGTTACTTTTTACACTTCAGCCACTTCAAAATTTCAAATGGTTAAAAAAAATCTATTCTGGAAGAATGAAGTTGTCAAAATGCAGACAATGATCCAGAGAAATAGTTTAGGTTCCCCTGATTCAATAACTGACTTCAAAGGAGTCAGTAGACACCCATTCCATATTTCAAAACATTTTTTTAAACTCCACTCAATTTCAATGAAAAATCATTTTGTAAAACAAGTAAGAAGGTTCTATTATTTTAAAAAGTCAAATTTGGAGGTAGAATGAACATAAATTCTATCCTTACTTGTAGCTCACCAAAGCCTATATTGTATCACAGATCAACATATGGTTTTGGAAAAATTAGAATAAGCACAATTATATCAGCTCTCTAAGAATCAGCTCTGGTCATGCCCTAGCTGCTTATTTACAACACATTTTAGACAAACTCATAAAACACCTGATTTTTAAACAGATTAGGGTTATGTCACCCTATTTGCAACATAAATAGCTAAAATGCTATTCATGTAGATATAAATATAGAATTAGGTTTTAAGGTGCAAAGAACATCTTCCAGTTCTTATAGCAATAGAGAATTTGAAAACCAAAATCATGTGTTCCACAGATTCCTGATTAAATGGATAATTTAGTCAAGAGCACCTTCTGAAAAGCATGCACATCTCTTGCAGTCCCCATGTAAAGAAACCCTAACTTACCAATTTCCCTTGCAATTCGGACAGCTTCATCTGCATCCTGTAAAAGCAGGAAATTGGACCCACCATTAATCCCATCAGTGCTGTTCAATGTCTCTAGGGCAATGATATATTACACTGCCTTCTTCAATACATTTAATGTTTGATTTTACAACCTTCTGACCCACATCATTCAGAGAAATATAAAATTAATTCCAGTGAAATGTAAATTTTACCTTGTCACTTGCATTACACAGCCTTTGAGCAATTAAGAATCACTTAGTAAAACACAAAACAAAAAGCAACAGGACTACAGAATGATTACTCAAGTTGGTCAAATTATTGAATTTAGAAGGTTTTACTAAGAAGCAAAGAATAGAACATTAGGATTTGTCAGCAGCCAGCTAATACCCTTTTTGTTTGCTTTTTTTAGTTTTTTCCTGTCTTCTAAGGTACCCGTGTATCATGTTGGCCTAGATATAGTCAGTAGGGGGAGTTGATTCTCTATTGTTTGGCTAAGCTTCAGCATCAACACAAGTCTTAGAAGATCTACAGAAAAACTTCAAATATAACGTTGCATAAATTGGGTGAAGGGAGGGGGTCAGGGTGGAGGTTAATAATTCAAAAAGTAATCCTAACCTTAAATGAAACTTCGCCTCACAAACATTAATAGCATTTGGCATTTTAACAACAGACAAACTGTTACATCTACTTACTTTTATTTTAGAATTAAGATTCTGAATATGATACATGGGTGGAGAAAGTAACAAAACATAGTTCAAATAATGGTTAAAAGGGCATTATTGCTTCATTTTTCTATAGAAGATCCCAATCCCCAGCAGTTCAAACAAATCTGGAACTACAATCTGGAACAAATCCACAAGATCTCTTCCGATCACATCAGTGCAGATTTCTGACACTCAACTGTTGAAAAATAGCAACCAAAACTATTTCTCCTACTGAAATAAAAAAAAAAATAGAATAAGTGTGAGTAGATTTATGCTTGCTAGGCCTGCCTTTCTAAAACTCAAAGCAAATTGGTAAACTCACAATTCTTTGTTACAATTCACTCTTGTTTTTAAAACTGCTGCTGGATTATATAGTATATTCAGAACACTTCAGCTAATCTATAGGACTTAATCCGTAGGGACTGACTTTTAAACATTAAAATGAAAACTGATATTTTAAAACATTGGTTTTTTTTAACTGAACAAGAATTCTCCTTGCCTCAAAGTAAGAGAGGGTGGAGGATTCTTGTTAACCAATCATTAAAACAAAATCTTTTTCGTACCTACTAAGAGTGTGAGGAGGATTAAGGAAACTGATACAGGAAGTAGTTAGAGAATTTAATTTCCTTTCATTAAGTAGTTTTCTCTGCAAATAGTGCCTGTTCAAAGCAGCCCTGAAACTAGTATCAGCTTTAAATGTGTGAGTATCTGTATATGTGTATGTGTGCTTAATTCAAATAGGCACATCTGTTAATGAGATTTTACAAACAAAAACTGCTTTTAATCCAAACAGAAATCCATCCCAAAAAGCAGGAAAGAATAAAATCAAGGTTTACTATTACACCTTGTTGCTTTCCCTGCAGCCCCGGCAGGCACCAAGTTCTAGCTTAGAGGGACTTTTAAAAATGCATGAAAAGAGTCATTTAAGAATGTTAGTGATTTCCACACATTGAGTCTGAAGGTTCTTTGTTCCTGCCTGTGACAGTTATGTGAGAATACTTCCCCTTAATAGCCTCTCTGTCAGGAAGTGTTAAACCTGCCAAATACAGACAATTAGAGCCTCTTGAATAAAATGCAGGAAGAGTGAGGACTGACGAAGAGCCTGATTACTGTAAAGCCAAGCATGAAACTTCCATATTTCTTTTTCTCCCAAAAATTCATGCATAGCTTTATTAACAGAATTTTAAAGTTGAAGCAATCTAGTTCTTCCTTTCTCTTTTAGATACCTGTAAACCAGGAATAACTGCTTCGGACTTCAAGCTTATAAGAAGTCAACTAGTTACTGTATGCCATTTACATTTCAAAGCAGCAGTAAAATTACTCTTTATTACTCCTTTTATTAAGTTGTTATTTATTAGGAGTGTTAAGCTATAATTCCCAGCCTTCAAAAATAAAAGCTATTTCACCATCCTATTAACCCACTGTTCGTGAAAATATTGGAATAATAAATGTTCTTCCTCTGGTCAGAACACATAGATGCCAGCCAGTCTACTTCTGAAAAGAGAAAGAACAAAAAGAAAAAGTTAAGAAAATCTTTATTATTTTCCAAGGATTTTTCTCTCCGTGGTTTCTTCTAAAGATTCCCAATCGTGGAGATGTTAAGCTTCTATTTATGTCTTCTTGGTCTATAAAACTAATCCAGTAAGAATCTCAAGAAACAGAATTTTGAATTTAAGCCTGGATACATGTTCTGGAAACCAAATGGAATCTTTCCATCTTTCCATTTCTAATTCTTTTGCTCTACAAATTAACAATGGAAAAGATTTTTTCTCCTCCCCAAGCTTCATTGCCATGCAGGGTCTGGATTTCTATGTTATGCTTATAAGGAGGAAAAGATAGTTACACCTTTTCCATCTTCTCTCTATGCTGCAATCCTAGACCATCTCCTTACCCAGATCTGATTTACAATTAGACTTCAGATTTAACATTAGTGAAAATAGTTTACCGCTTGGGGGAGGGAAGTTTTATAGGGAATAAGGGAGACCAACTAACTCTCTAGTTTGTTATTCCTCTGAAGATTATCACATTCCTTTGCCAAAAGGCAAAAGCTTAGGAAAATTAACATTTTTCTAAGTTTAATTGGCATATAGATGGGGTCCCTTAAAGCGGTGTTTACTAGATGATCTCCTTCCCTTGACCCATAAGCATCCATACATGCTGCCTGGACACATCCAATGAGATTCTATGGACCACCTATAGAAAGATGAGGGGAGAGGAGACTTAATGCCCCAAATTATTTTCTACTTGTGAAAACGTAAACAAATGTAATGACTTCAAGTGTTGTATTCTAAATATAGGCATGTACGCTTGCATATTTTGTTCAGATGAAGGGGAAATATTTTATACATTCTCAAAGAAAGGCAGGACTAGAGATGTCAGGATTCTGAAGTAAAAATCAGCATAAGCATACATACATATTATCTACTCTAGATTATAGGTGGAGGAATAGTGACAGGTAAACGTACATTTCTACAGAAGCCTATAGGAAAGTAAAAACAAGCCAAGAGTCCTACAGTTTCTTTAAGATCCATTAATATTTATACTTGCACATGTCTTCCATAACCAAACCTTTATTTCGGTTGCAGAATTAGTTCAAGTTACTTTAATGTCTATATACAACACAGCATCATATTTAGCATGTATAGAACACCTTTCAAATTTTATGCTTCATATATTTTTTTAAGTCTGTACTACATCCTTGGTAAGTAGGATGGTATTATTCCCAACAATGTCCTAATCTAAACACCAAGATCAAAAAAACATTGCAAAGTTTATTTCACAATTGAAATTGGCCCCCGTTTGCAGTTCCATATAAAACAGCGTTGGCAAATTTTATGCAAATAGGTGTCCTGTAGCTACGGATTTGGGCCATTTTAATATCTAGCAATGGCTGTCATGGGAACTGGTTCGGACTGAAGGCCAAAGGTAGTGAAAAGAACAAATAACTATTATATTGTTCAAAGCTATCTACACTCTCTCTCTCCATAAAACAAAAATTATATCCATATCTTACTTATTTATTTGTTTTTAAACATTTATATTGCCGCCTACTCACTCATGGTGACTCATGGAGGCTTACAGGAAATAAAAACACAAAATAAAAGAAATTAAAAATAAAAATAAAAAATAAACATAATAATAAATACCCATCCACCCTGACAACAACACACACTCATACCAGCCAATGAATGGGCTCCATCCCACTCTGAGTTCACATTATATTTAAGTATCATATCACATTATGTGTAAGTATAAAATATTTATCCAAAAGTCACTACCTTCTTATTTTAAGTACTTAAGGCTAATAACATTGGAAAGGGGGTGTCTGCAGGATATGATCAAAACAGTCAAAAGAAAAGCTGTATTGGTGTGACTGAAGAGCACTGTACCAGAATTTTTTAAAAAAAACAGTAACAGTAACAGAGTTGGAAGGGACCTTAGAGGTCATATAATCCAACCCCCTGCTCATGCAGGAGACCTGTACTAGGGATTCGAACCGCCGAATTGCCAACCTTTCTGATCAACAAGCTCAGTGTCTTAGCCACTGAGCCACCTAGTCATGGGTCAACAGATGGAGTTTCAATGATATCATCACAGCTGTTTGGACTTTTTTTTACTGTACCTTGTTGAAAACCTTGTGTTTGACCCACACTTTTTTCTACAGTAGATAGTAGCAAGGTACAAATATTTCCAGCATAGGCATCCATGCTAGCTATGGGCCAGAACCAGGCATGTAAGATGCAGAATTTGTATCATGATGCAATGCATGCTCTGTCACTTGCCCCCCTCACCCCATGATTTCTGCCCAAGGTTTCTTTGTATGCTCAAAACAAGGCAAATTAAAGTGAAAGTCACTGACTGGCTCCAAAACAGGAAATATCCCACCTGCATTTCTCGAGCTAGAATCCCACCATTAAACTCATTTTGAACCAGAATCCATTCTATGCTATTGCACTACACCAGGAGTGTCAAACTCAAAGGCTGATTAAATCTGCCCCATAGGGCCGGCCTGGAAATACCAAAGGACCGGCCCGCAGTGCCTCTGCTGGCCAAAACAGGCCGCAGGGAGCTGTGGGTGGTCCCCCCGCAGCCTGTTTTCGGCCTCCACAGCTTCATGCAGCCAAAAGCAGCCACGCCTACCCTGGCCATGCCCCACCACCACCCCAGGCCCTCCAAGGTCAAACACAACCCTGATGTGGCCCTCAATGAAATAAGAGTTTGACACCCCTGCACTACACAATATGAACACAGGTAGCCTTTGACTTACAACCATTCATTTAGTGACCATTTGGTTACAATAGCACTAAAAAGAGTGACTTATGACCATTTTTCATGCTAAGAGTGAAAAATGGTCCTGAGCCACTTTTTTTCAGTGCTGTTGCAACCGAATGGTCACGAAATGAATGGTTTCCTTAAGAAACTTGGAACAATATTACAATGAGCATGATACAGGCAGTCCTTAGTTAACAAGGGGAATTAGCTCTGGGAATTCCATCACTAAGTAATATGGTTGTAAAGCATGATGTTACATGACTACACTGATTTATGAAGGCAATTCTAGTTGCGATGGTTAGGTGACTCCTGCATAGTGGGTAGGTGTGATGTCACATGATTGTCACCTGTGACTTCCTGCTAGTTTGCACATTGACTTTTTTGTCAAAAGCTGACAATGAAGATGGCAAATGGACTGTCTGCATGTTTCCTCATTCAGCGCTGCTGTAACTTTGAATGGTTGCTGAGTGAACATTAACTGGTTAATTGGTTAATTGGTCATTAACCAAGGATCACTTGTACTATATTTAACATTTAAAGCACAGCAGAAATTTTTCATTCACAGGTCCCACAATTTTCATGCTTTTCTCCACTATATCATATTTTAAGTGATTATGTAACAGGGGCCATGGCAAAACTACATAAGATAAGAAATTTGATTCTTAACCATTTTTAGCGGCATTTGCAATGCTTCATGTTATTTGATTTGATTTTTAAAACATTTATATGGCCTTCCCATCTAAATAAAATCCCAGGCGGCTCACAATCCTAATTTGATTTCCAAAAGATACTTCATAACATGTAAAAGAAAAAGCAACATGTTAATGACTAGTTAAAGGAGATACTCTGAAGCAACTTAAAATTGAATCAAAGTACTATACGGTATCATTTTTATGGGGAGGGAAGTGGTTTAACTCACACATGCAGCAGGGTTGTTCCCCAATTTTCCTTTCTTCTACCTACCTATGGCAGTCATTTCATTCTATGGGAAAACAAACCACTATCTCTTCAAAACACTGTTCTTGTGAAGAAAAGCTTCTCTCTTATTGATGTATTATTATTTAATTATTTATTTATGCTTGTATTTATCCTACATAGTTATGCAATCATAAGACCAGAGAGTTCACATATATAGTATTATGTGAGACAGATTGTAGTGATAATTTTGAGTTTACTATTCTTTTACACAGAATGAAGAGTTTTATTCATCTCAACAACTTATCATATACAAATATTTCTATCATAAATCCCACTGGCCCACTGAAGGTTGTAATTATATATTTTATGTTTAACTCTAATCTTAATCCAGGAAGGACTTTCTAAATTAAAAATGAGGTTATATAAGTAGCTGATTTAAAAAAAAAAAAATCTTACCTTTATCACCCCATCATAACCCGGTATAGTATTGACCTTTGCATTCTTGGCTAACAGTTTGCTTTCTATCTTGTCTCCCATTGCATGAATGGCATGCATATCTGGTCCGATGAAAACAACACCTTCTGATGCCTGAAGAAACAAAGAAGGAAGAGAAGAAAGAGTATTACAATGTACCTCTTTGAACATAGTTCACATATGTACTACAAGTACTGTAACTTTAAACTTTAAGCAGTACATTAAAAGTATATCTGAGGAAGAGAAAGCAAAGATCTCATGATTACTGTTTGCACAAATCAAAATTAGACCAAGGAAAACTAGCTGAAAGTTATAAAATATTTTTGCCTGACTTTCTGTAGCATCTCATGAGTGAGAAAAAGGCAATTAGGTCATAACTCTGAGATGCCATAAGAGCATACTAAGATACGTTGTGTAATATAGTTCAGGATTTCATTCTGCATTCTTTAAGATTCACCTAAAGACAACTTTTTTTCTTTTATAAGGGCTGAAAATATTCGAAATGGACTTTTAATTTTTTTTTCAGAAGAGATTTCTAAATACCAACCTTCAAGCTAATTAAGAACATCTTTCATTTTAGACTGATGTCCTAAACAAATATTTGAAAAGCTGCAATTATTTTTTATGCTATATTGCAGTTTACAAACTTATCTGGATACTTACGGTATCAACGAATATACTGTTCCATTCAAATATATTAGATGTTATTATAACATCAACCCTTAATTATGTCCCCCAATCTATAAACATATATATAATACATAGTGGGCTCTTGTGGGAGGGGGGGGGTGCTTGAAAGAATGTTGAATGCTAAGAGGATTATTGTTACAGCTAAGTGATAAGTAAAATGTGAAAATAGAAACCAAAATTGCATACGTGCCTTTCATGTCTAAGGTGGGGCTTATTATTTGGCTAACTAATAAGATAATAAAACAATTTATTTATTAGTCTGCCCTACCTCAGACAGAAAACAATAGGCAAGCATATCAAAGAAATGATTTAAGGATATCTCACAAATGCATGTGTGTAACTTGGTTTCTTACCACTTGGTTACCACATCTGATTCTACAAATTTAACTTCTGTAAAAGACTGAAACAATAAATTTCTATCATACAAATCATGATAGTTCACATCTTTTAGCCAAAACTTAATTGCAAACAAGTTCATATGTTTTTCTCCAAATGTTTTTGCCCAAACTAATATACTATTCTTACAAGTTAATTCCCCAAATCATCCAGTATGCTCCCTTCTACCATGCTATTGAACAATATATATTATGTGAAGTAAATGCATTCTCCTGAATAATGGACCCCCCTTATTACTATTAACCTGATTATTCTGATATAAATCACAATGGAGAGGAAAGGAGCCGTTGCTTGCCATTAAGCACATGAAAAAAGAAATCATAGATAGAGATAGACAGACAGACAGACCGACCAGACCAGAACAGAACAGACAGACAGACAGACAGACAGACAGACAGATAGACCAATCTCAAACATGGGTGAAGCTGGATTCATGTCAATATTTGAAATAAGCATTTTTAAAACAATTCTGTACCTTCAACAGGGTTCATTCCTGAAAGCTGTTGTGTGGTTTGCCATTGCATTCTTCCTAGAGCTGAGACTTTGGCTGGTCCAAAGTCACCCATCTGGATTCTGCTTCTAATGTGGGACTATAACAGTCTCCCAGTTTTTAGCCTGATGCCTCAAGCACTACCCCAAACTGACTCTCTTCAATGTTCGCTTGTTTGTTAAATGTTTATCCTGCCCATCTCCCCTGTAAGACAACTTAGACAACTAAGTAATAGTTAGGCACTATTACTTAGTTGTAATATTGAAGGGAATAAATAAATGCATAAAATAACTGTAAACAACACATGGATTCTTACATTCACTCTCTGTCACATCAGTTAAAACTAAAAGAGAATAAGGGAGTTGAAATCTTGGAGAAGGTACAGAGAAGGTACAGCTAGATAAAACCAATAACCAGACCAATTTAAACAGTTTTTATATTCCAAAAGTCAGAGCAGGCAAATCTATTTTTCTTTTAATACAATTGTGTACTTTTTCAAACAGGACACCGAAATAATCAAGAAGTGTATAAAAACATGAAACCAAGAGAGAACAAATAATCAAAGTAAATAGAAAATTGCATGCATACCAACAAATATTCCTTGTAACTATCAAGGTGGTTACTGATTTAGATAGAAGGAAAGTGAAACATGGGAGGAATTTTCTTTAGATGTTTTCCATATAGGATTTCCTCAGTTCCTGGCAATCAAATCGGTCATAGATTTTTACATGATAAAAGGAATCTGTGGAACTAATCCTAGAAACCTCTTTCTGTTTTCTTGCATAACACCTCGAGGCACAGAAGAGACAAAATGCTTCATTTGCATCCTTAAACATTAGAAACTGAGAATGAACCTTTTCAACTGCAAATGTTATTGCATCTACATTTCCAGAAAGGCGGAAGGGGGGAAGGTTACAGAGTCTGCTCAGGTTTATGTTAACTCGTCTCTTTTTTAGTATTACTGATCAATACAAAGAGAAGGCAGAAGCAGCAAAGCCTTAAGAACCTTTTTCTCCCTAAAGAAAAGAAGAAGAAAGAGATAGAGGGAACATGAAGGATGATAAGCAGAAGAAAGAGGAAATGACCAAAGTAAAAACAGCAAATATTAACCATGGTAATAGTTTTTCCTGTCTGATAACGTTTGGCCAAGATTTGCTTGTGTAAAATAAAAAATAGCAATAAAGATTAGACCAGACTGAATTAAAAGCATTTGTGTAAATAAATAAAAATATCACATACCATTAAATTTGAAACCTAACAGCCTAGAAATGACAAAGAGCAGCTTCAAGAATATCCCATACACACTTTTTGTTGGTTATTTTTGCACTTATAAAATGCTACCATCAAATTCACTACATTAGATTCTGTTGAAGTAGCTTGGTAGTAGTATAGCAACATCAAAGAAATTTTAGGAATTGGCTCATTCATAAAATTATGAAGTCTCCTATAGATTAAGTTCAACTCTTGGTCACTTCACATCCATGCAATTTCCATTACAAAAGCAAGGTCCTATGACACAGGAATGCAATTAGGACTGGACAAATGTGCCACTTTTACCATTAACAGAGGAAAAATAATGAAAACTGGAGGAATCAAGATGCCCTATAGCACTTAGCAACAGCACTTCGACTTATATATTACTCCATAGTGTTTTACAGCCCTCTCTAAACAATTTACAATGTTAGCATATTGCCCTCCAACAATCTGGGTCCTCATTTTACAGACCTTAGAAGGATGGAAGGCTGAGTCATCCTGTCAGGATCAAACTCCAGGCTGTGGGCAGAGTTAGCTTGCAATACTACATTCTAACCACTGCAGAAGTAGAAATAACATCAAGAATCTGGATTAAGACCATCACTATAAATACCTGGGCATCCTTCAAGCTAACAACATCAAGCACACCGAAGTCAAGAAGAACATTAAAAGTGAATACATCAAGAGAGGAAGATCTTAAAACCCAAATTCATCCATGTAGCAATGTTGACAGACTCTATTTACCAAACAATCCCAAAACATTTGGAGCACTACATGAATATCATTGGCATTGGGAAAATCACTATCAGTCAATTGCAAAAAGCAGCTTTACTTAAGACAGCTTACATCTTGTAATACCTTGTGATACCTTTAACAGCATCAAACAAATCTGCCTAACCCAGGTCCTTGTTTTGAATGTGTTGGTGCCTTTCCAACTTCTGGTATTTGACCTGGCAAATAGACTATTTATAGCAATAGCAATAGCACTTAGACTTATATACCACTTATATACCCCAACAATCTGGGTCCTCATTTTACCGACCTTGGAAGGATGGAAGGCTGAATCAATCTCGAGCCGGTGAGACTCAAACTGCTGAACTGCTGTTTATATGAACTGGATGTATGTAGTATTTCATCTAAATCAGAGACCCATACAGAATTCCTGAACTAGCAGGAACTATCAATGTCTTATCTGACGATTTGAAGAATCTTGCTCAAATGTGGCTGTAACACTACATAACACCATTTTGGATTGTGCATTTTGGGTTAGAAGAAAATGTATCAATCAAAACGTAAAGCATATGAATAAAATCCAAGAAGTTAAATGTATGATCTGAAAGAATGACACACAATAGTGCATTCCTTTGCATAGTTACTTGAAAACAAGTCATTTGGACAAAGGACTGTTTCTTGCAGAGAACTAATAGTAGAAAAGGAAATACAAAAAGAAAGAAATGTTCTGGATTATTGTAATGTGTTGTGCACACAAGATTTGCTTTTAATTCTGTGTCTAATATTACTAAATTATAACTTTAAATGAAAACCAAGATTATTTCTCTCCACTCAAAAAAGAAATCTTGTAATCCTTGCAATTTTACTGAGATTTGCTCACTAGTGCTTGGGCTGAGCTTGGTTTACTGAAGTCATGATGATTCAACTTTAGATAGACTTCATTTTACTTTTATTTTGTTATTTAGAACTACACAGTGCTGTTTCTAATAGTCATTTCAATGCTTGACAAACTCCAAGGTTCATTGCTCCTGTACATTTTTCAAATTATTAGCTTCTTAATGCATATGGCTTTAATTTACCTCCTACTGACATCCTTAAATGGTTTTCAAGAATTTTGAAAGTAGAACTACTATAGTTATTCTCCACACTTGGCCTTGATCGCTGACACTGAATATCTTAAGTAGTTTCTACAATTAATAGAATGGATGTTCAAACACTTCTACTGCAAAAGCTCAAGATTCCTTTAAAAATAGATTTGTATTTGGATTCCTGTAGTGTGTTTGCTCCATTTATTTCTAATGAGTTCCCAGAAGCATCTGAGACGGCTTCTGTTTTGCAAAAAATAAAAATCAGATGTGATTATCTATTAACATTGCAGATTTTTTTAGTCTTCAGTATGTATAAAATGGGAGCACTGTCATCTGAAGAAGATTTTTTAACACTAAATCAGGTAAGCAGCACAATCCGTCTTTCCCTAATTATTCTTACTGATAATAATGTATGATGCATTATACTTTATTCAAATGCTTCATAATTAAGGCATACAGTGGTG